AGTATGCTCTCTCTCTCTCTCCTCTATTCCACCTGTGAGGTTCTTCTGTACCAAAGCCAAAGCCACTAAACTTCATAATGAAGATTCAGTGACATAAGGTAGACTCTGGAGCTAGAATGTCAAACTGCATCTCAGTCAGACAACTAGGACCAGACTACAGCAGCCCTGCCCGTTTCTGGACAGCCATCAGCTACCCCTCCTCAGTGGTTTTTGGGGGCATTTCTTAGGGACCCATTTGGAAATGMAGGAGCAGATTCTCACAGGCAGCTGCTGAACTCCTCTGGCTGTGCTAATGGTTTCCTGTGMACATCAGAGGATGCCTTCAGGACCTTCAAAGGGAAGCAGCAGGCTCAGCTCTGACACTGCCTCTACTTGAATGTTGGCTCTTAGTATTGTAGTGCCATGTGACAGAGCTGCTATAACTGGGTCAGAGTATCAGCAAAGGTCTATCTGCCCCTGGGCGAGAGCAGCTTCCTGGGCTACAGATGCAGCTGTTACCACAGACTTCTCTCTCCAGGTGCTCAAAACTGGGTGCTACCGATTCCCGAGCATCCCCGAAGGCTGGAGGTGGCCTGGCCCCTGTGCCAGGAGGGAGTGGTGCCACCTGGAGGGCATCCTTCACATACAGCTCATTAAGCGTCCCTCACAAGCAGTTTACTAAGCCTCAAATCTATGCTTGGGAACTTGCCAGCTCTCAGTGTGCAGGACACTGGAGCCACACCTTCTGAGCTTAGCTGACTTTCCCCAAGTCTAAGTGTGCAAAGGAAGCATGGGTGGCCTTGAGTGATGGTCCCCATCTCCAGCTGCACACCAGAATCATTGGGAGGCTTTCTACCTTCTCTGCTGTAGGGTCAGAGGTGAGTGGACAAGACTGGAGGAGGCAACCAGACACTAGAGCAGTCTCCCATGAACTGCTGACATAACCACAATCTGGAGGCACCAGATAGAGTGTGGTGCTTCCCGGGAGAAAGTGCATTGCTATTCCTCACTATGTGCCTCCTTAGAGTCCAGTTCTGGAACCAGGCTTCATGCCCTATGGGTTCAGAGCCTCTCATGTGCCCTATATAACARCTATGGTCTTTTAATGATGGTGATGATGTTGGGTGTGAGAAGAAGAAAAAGATATGGTGCCCAGCTCTTCTTGCAGCTGCTATTTCATAACTATGGCTCTGGTTGAGTCTTTGGTTTTAAGTGGCATCCACGTGTTAGCAGAGGTGGGTACTCCTTGAAACTAATGAAGCTGGGACTTCCTTTTAAGGGCCTTTCAAAGTCCTGATCTTAACTTGATTATAGATTTGTTTCTCAAAAAGGGCCCCCTGCTAATGTGCAAGCTTCAGGACCCACACAGTCAAGATCTGCCTCTCTGTCTCCCAGGGATCATCATGACAAGGGGATAAAATCTTTAATGCACAGTCAATGGTGAATTTTCAGGGGTGGGAGTGACTGCTCCTACTTTCCCTCTCCCTGTTCAGTCTCTGGTTCAACAATGCTTTGGAAATTCTTGAGTCTCCTGAGCTCCAAGTGAATACCTGACCCTGATGGCCTGCCTGTTAAGCCTCAAACTGTGCATATTCTAGCTGCATCCATCCACCACTCCCAGGTCTCCCTCCCTCAAGGTCCCATGCCTTGGCTGACTAAGAAGCCTAATAGTCCCTGTAGGTTGCCCTCTTCTCTTACTGCCATCTCTCCCTCCAGAGTTAACCATAACATCTGCCTTCTAGAATCTCCTTTGAATCTTTCCTCCTCGATCCCTATTATTGAGAGTCAACCCTAGTCCCCAACTTCAAAGTAGTCCTGCCTTCCAAGTCCTGTGTTCCTCCAAGCCATCCTCCACAGAGCAGATGGGCACTTCTATATCAATGAAAATCTGATATGGTACTCTCCTCGGCTCCACATACTATTCTATGGCTCCTGCTGCTGAAAGAGGGTGAAATTGTCTTAGCAAAACCTTTGAGGCCTTCAGAACTGGCCACTGCAGGCTCTCAGCCTCCCCTCCAGCTTCTTCCTCAGCCTGTGTTCCAGCTCTGTGTGTGCTCTGGACTCCCTTGTACCCTGCTGCCCCCCACTGAGTGTCCCTACATACTTKCCACTCTCTCACACCCCCTCCCCAGTCCTATTGTCCATCTGCAACACACTCACAGCCCTTTAAGATCCAGCTCACCTTTGCTTCTTTTGTGAAGGCTATTCTCTCTCCTTACACCCAAGTGGATACTCTCTTAATTTACCACCCACCTCACACAGGCTTCTATATGGCACCAAGACATTGCTATGTTATGAAGAAGGTCCTTCAAGGATTCATATGTTGAAATACCTCACCCCACTGTGAGGTATTAAGAGGGCAGAAACTTATGACTATGGTGTTTAGAGGTCACATTTGGGAAATGGCTAGGATCACATAACATTATCAAGTTGAAGTCCCCATGATTGCATTCTGGTAGCTTTATAAGAAGAGGGAGATACCAGAACACACACACACACACACACACACACACACACACACACACACACACTCATGCATGCATATGCATATGCACACACATTCCTTATCTCTTGCCATGTGAGGATGCCCCCGTGCTGCCCAGGGACACTGCTAATAAGAAGGGCTTCACTGCATGTAGCTCTTGACCTTGGACCTCCAGAACTATGAGCCAAAATAAACCTCTTTTCTTTGTAAAGTTATCCAGTCCCTGGTATTGTGTTACTAGTAACAGCAAACAGACTAACAGTCACTGGCTCAATTATCACATGGCTCTCTCCTTGATACACTGGGCAGGACTGGAAGACTGGATTTGTGTCTTCTCTGGTACTGTGCTTGGCATGCAAGAGGTAGGTATGCAGACCATTCTTGAATGAATGAATGGCTCTGAAAGCTCCATAGCTCAGTTTTCCTTCAACTAGTAATAGGCTTGAAATTTCCAATTTCTTCCTCAAAGGCCACAGAAACATAAGTTATGTCAAATAACATAAGTTATGTCAAATAACAATTCAGTCTGAGTTGGAGCCAACGCCCTGGAAAAATACATTGACCTTTTAATATTTTTAAATCATTGACCTGAGAAAGCGTCTTAAGTTATTGTAAATTCTCTTATTCAGTGGCTGATTATTTATACCTTTGGCCTCCTATCTCAAAATCTGTTTTCCACTCTTACACTAATAGTTATGATTTATCCAACCTTTGCTATGTGTTCCACCTTGTGTTTGACATGTATCAAGTGCTCTTTCACTACATTTTCAATCTTCATTAGAAACATAATTAAACATAAACATAAGGTGGTGACGCATGCCTGTAATCCCAGCGGCTTGGGAGGTTGAGGTAGGAAGATGGCAAGTTCAAAGCCAGCCTCAGCAATTTAGTGAGATGCTAAGCAACTCAGTGAGACCTTGTCTCTAAATAAAATACAAACTAGGGCTGGGGATGTGGCTCAGGGGTCAAATGCCCCATTAGTTCAATCCCTGGTAACCCCTCTCCCCATAATTAGAAAAATAAAGAGCATTTAAATATATTCATACATTGAATGGAACAAGCCCGAATACTTGTTAGTATGTTTTTCAAAAGCTTTGAGGGAGAGACTCCAACCGCTAGGTTTTAATGAACTCTGCTGTGGATCCCAATTATCCATGTTGGCTTTGGTCTTCCAATGTGGGCAGAAGAAAGGTGCATACGCTATGCAAGCAGGACTTCGTTAAGGCCCTGAGAGTGTTCTTAGCTTTTGCAAGCAGAAAATCAGTCAGGCAAGTTGGAGAGGGAGGAAGAAGCAAAGAGGAAATTCGACAAGAAAAAGCACATAAAATTATAAAGGCCACGTTGTAACAAGCACAGAGAAACAGAAATACAGACCCTGTGAATGAAAAAAAAAAAAAGAGGAAAAACATAGGAACAAAGGGTATAGTCTGTTTTGCACAAATAGACGGAAGCAGAGGCTTTAGAGGTAGCCACAAAACAACATATCCCCCTGAATAATTCCTCCATCCCTTCTCAGGATCTTACTTAGAACTTCAAGGAATTACTGATCAATTGAGTAAAAATCCTCCCCAACCCAGGACCATTTTCCCTATTAATTTAACAAAGTTGGTAAGGACAGACATCGTTAACCTGGCTCGGGTATGATAAGCTCAGATGTGTAGTGTGGGTTTCAATCCTATTTGTGGATTGTCATTCAAACCACAATGACATAATGGACCAATCCTGCTCTTGTGTTCTCTCTCTTTTTCTGTCTTTCAGAGCAAGTGTGGTTTTGATAGATTTTTAATAATGTATTTCAGGGTTAGAACTAAATACCATCTCTCTATCATTCTCTGCTAGAGATTCTGAATGACAGCACTTGCCTCAAAGATATTTTTCCATTATAATTTTTCAATTTGTTCTGGTCTAAAAAACGTGTGTAAATGAAAACAGACAATTCAAATATGGTGCCCCTCSCAGGGCTCTGCCTTGTGTTTCTAAGGACTTTGCAGACCTTTCTCTGTTTCCCTTTCTTTCTCTTTTGGCAAACAACCTTATTTTCTGACCACTTCCTCTAAGCCCCAGGAGATCCTCTGGATTCTCAGGACCTCCTCTGGCTCATCTCTTTATTCACCTCTTCCTTACCTGAGACCAGCGGGGGTTTTTTAGTACATCTACTTTCCTCTACCTTGACCTAAAAATCTTTGAGAGAATTCAGATTGGCCTCAGGATTTAAAATAGATGGCCTTTTGTTTATTCAGAGTATACAGCCCCAMGAAAGTAAGGAACACAACAGTCTCCCATCTGCTCTGGGAGAACTGAGCCAGGCATCTTACCTTAAATAATTATAACAGCTTAGGTTTCCTTAGAGACAGGGAGAAAAAAAAAATATTTACCCAGGGAACTCAGGATTATTGTGGAGTAATTTGTATACACTTAAATTAGCAAGGGATTGGCAAGCCTGTGGGCCACACGTTGTTAGCATTTTAACTCACTTTTACCCTGGTTTCTCTCTCAAAATGAGAGCCTTTAAGCCAACAAAGAAGACCACCCTTACCTTCCTTGGCTTCACTTTATCATGGTAGTCATACTGGAAGATTCCTTTGTAGCTTAGTCCCAGCCACCATGGTATCCCCTGCTTGTCCTAGGACATCAAAGAGTACAGGTAAATATGGGCTGCAAAAGATACACAGATCAAGAGGAGATTCTCCCAGCTCAGCTGAAAACAAGGGAAAAGGCAATTTCCTTGGAAGTTTACAGATGTGTCCCTCATAGCAAGATGCTCAGTTTTACAAACAGGGTGATGGGAGCCCTGGGCTGGGGAATTGGCTCTGTTTCTAACCTGCAGTACATCTCTACCAGCATCTCTCCCCTTATCTTTAAGGAGCAAATGCTCTGTTCTTTTTTTTTTTTTTTTTTTTTTCCTTCTAAGACTGTAGGTCTTCCAGGCTGGGCCCCTCATTCACCAAACAGAAAAAAACCTGAGAGATGTGGAACATTCCAGTAAAGTGAACAATCTTCTGAAGCAGAGAAACTGTCATCGACCATCAGCTAGAGACTATGAAAGGGACTCCTCTCTTTTTTAAGGATTAAGAAATCAAAGCAGCTGGGGACAGTGGYGCATGCCTGTAATCCCAGCGGCTCAGGAGGCTGAGGCAGGAGGATCCTGAGTTCAAAGCCAACCTCAGAAAAAGTGAAGCGCTAAGCAACTCAGTGAGACCTTGTCTCTAAATAAAATACAAAATAGGGCTGGGGATATGGCTCAGGGGTCAAGTGCCCCTGAGTTTAATCCCCAGTCCAAAAAAAAAAAAAAAAAAAAAATCAAATAGGGAGCTGGCTCAGTTTTACTCAGGACCCTCCCCAGCCCCAGCCAGCCAACAGCAGCACAGGCCAGAAAGTGTCACCTCTAATGTCCTGCTCCCCTATGAGGACAGCTGGGTGCCAGACAGGGTCTTAGGACTGGCACTGTTGGACAAGGTAGCAAAACTGAAGCTGAAACATTCTCAAGGTAAATAACTAAATCAGAAACATCAAGTCTGTTTATTTCATTTTAAAGAGAGCTCTTGTCACCTCGGTGGCCGTTGCAATTCTATATTCAAATAGGGATGATTCTGAGTTGCTATGGAATGTTTCCAAATGCTAGTGTCTTATGGWGGGCATGCCAGGAGCTCTCCCCCAAGATTTATCCTATTTGTCACATCTCTGGAAAAACCTARCACACTTCCACTGTGTCTTGAAAACTTAAAATCAGAATGATGGCTTTCCAGTACTTGTGGGGCATGAGGTACTTCAAAAGATAAAAGGAACAAGAAATGTTGAAATTTTATTTAAAGCTTCAGGGGTATGTAGGTTTTTTTTTCTTTTTCTTTTTTCCCTTTTTCCTTGCTGGGGATGGGACCCAGGGCCTCATACATGCTAGGCACATGCCCTACCATCGAGCTACACCCCTAGCTGAAAAATTTAAAGGTAGAATAAGATGCTTGACTTAAACCCACCCCTCTGGGAATACTTGTGCACAACCATAGTTTCAAAAAATAGAACAAGAAGAATCCGAATGCCCCCTGCCACCTCACATAAGTGTTATCATTATACCATAATCAGGCATCAGGGAGATCACATGGCCACCAAACAGGGAGCATGCATTACATCTGCTTGGGCAGAGGTGCTGCCCTGATAAACCACAGAGCAATCTGCTTATGCTCTGAGATTTCAGAAGCCAAACACCTGTACTCTTTTAACACTTTGAAAATCGCGTGCCCTGCTTCTAGTCTGAAAAAAGAGCACAAATCTAGTTTTATGGAAGGTAGAAAGCTTATATATCAGAGGCAGCCTTTTTGTTAGRTTCTAGAACCAACAAAAATGAACTCCAGATGGAAACCAGTCTGAAGACTCAATGAACCTCCCTGAATCTCAGTCTTCCAATATTTGGAAGACTTTTATGGGGGTAGTTGACGTGGTAAGTGTCTTAACTTCTTTTAATGATAGGAGAGAGAACTCAGCTCAAACTTAGAACAGATAGCAAGCCAGGGAACACATGACACAGGAATTCCTAAATTCCTGGTTCCTGTTCTGGAATGCAGATGCCACTGCTGTAAATCAACATGGAATATTCCTACAGCTGAGAAACCCTCATGGATCAACTCCTATGAAATGCCTCTGATCATTATGTGGGAAACTATTGAATTCATGTGTCTCCTCTATGGTAACAAGATGGTAAAATGGAAGTGGACTCCGCAGCGCTCACTAGCGTGGTCAACATCAGCACCACTGAAGCCTCTTTTCACAAACCCTTGAATTTCCTTGGGTGGAACTGATCACCCATGACTTGAGAAAGGCAGGGCTGGATGTGCTTGCCRGTCACATGAACTCTGGAAGGATAATGAAGAGGGGCTAAGCACTCCCATTGGTGGGAAGAATCTTGGTAGGACATCAGAAAGAATTTAACTACTTCAGGCTTTAAGAGATCCTGAGAGAAACTGTTGGGTGGGAATGAGGTCCCCATAGGCACCTCATAGTTCTATGGTCCACAACGGTAGTTCTAACACTTGTTCCCATTATGGAATTGCAGACATCCAACCACCAACTCAGTTCTCAATATGTTTCCTCAGTAAATATTTGCTGAGCATCTATCATGGGCCAGGTGCTGTGCTTGGTTCTGGGAATGTGTAACAGAATATATATAATACAGTCTTTACCATCAATTATCTGCAGTTTAGGAGAAGATATGGGCAGTTCTGTGCACAGCAATGACTTACAAAGTGTTATGTGAGTTGCTAAAGGTAACACATAATGAATGAAATATGGCACATAGTGTAGTCTAAAGAAATTAAAAATATTGTAGGATGGAAACACTAGGAAAGACACTGGTAAAACAGCAAGAGGAGCTCTGATTGGCTGGTGGGACTGTCTGTAGATTAGAAGTGTTTTCTTCTCTTTTCAGCTGAACTTTGGGCAATGATTCAGCTAAACATTTTAGGTAGGAGTAAATGAAAAGAGGAGGAGGAGGGAACTTTTTCTTCTTTGTGGTCTCATGAGGGACATCTTTATTATTTCAAAGAAGAGATCCTACTCTGGCACATTATGGAAATTAAAATTAAAAAGAATTTAGAATGGAGTCAATACCCATTGGACTTGCCATTAGAATATTCAAGAAAACAGATCTTATTTTCTTAAAGGGTCACATACTCCATTTGTCAGCCTATAATCCCAGTCTACCTCTTAGAAAGCTAACTATGTAGCACTTGACCACCAAAAAAAACCCCACAAGATTCTGCTGAAAGTTTCTGTTCCCTACAGTTCCTTGTATTGGATAGAGTTTTCCCACTAAGATACTCATATCCTGGTCCCTTGGGATTCCTCTGAGACCAAAAGGAACTAGAGACTTATTATACTGCTTCCAAAAGGGAAAATGAGTTTTTGAGAGAAACCATATCAGGTCTTACTATCCTAGGGGTAAAATTCATGCCAATTTCCTGTGGCATCTGGTCTTTCTGGGCAAGTCTTCCCTTACCAACTCCCAGCCCTCTAAGAGTCTCCAGGAAGATTTTTAAAAAGAAAAAGAATGTTTTGCTGTTGTTTGCTTTTTGTTTTGGGGCAGGATGGGCAATCTTCACTAAATAAGTTCACTTACCTTCACTGCATAATAGTGAACCCCGTAGGTTGGGAGAGACTCCACGATGCTCATGTAGCTGGGAAGACAACACACACAAACACACACACACAAAAACGCACACAAGGGTGGTTATTCGGCAGAACTGGTACAATATACATACTTCTTTGGCATGTGTGATAAAGTTCTGGGAGTGATTATTTACTTGACAATTCAATTGAAACATTGTCCCCCAGAGATAACTTTTTTTCTGAGCAGAAGTGAACCATCTTGACATGTGATATATTAACACACACAAACACAATCTCCGTGAGTGCTGGTAAGGGCCACTTACTTCACGATTGCTTGACCTCTCGTCTGGCCATTCAGCTTCTTGTAGTGCTCAATTACTCTGTCTTCACTAGAATTAGAAGAAAAGCGTTCTGTTATTAGAGGCCGAGTATCCTGCTCACTGAGATACTTCTGAGCTTGACCAACTGCATGAGGCCCTTCAAGGAGCCATCAACTCCTGGGAAAATGACTTGTCATTTAGAAGTGACATTTCCAAACTCGGCCCAAATGAAATCTTTGGGCTATAAATTTACCAAAAAAAAAAAAAAAAAAAAGTCACAGTCTGGTTTTTCTTTTTTCCCCTCAGAGGACTTCTATTCTCTTTATCTTGAACTTCTAATCAGTGAAATGAGATTATCCCACAGGCTTGGGGGTAGGCTTCTTGCAAGAAACGATGGTATGGAAGAAATGAGCAGTGGGCTGAGGCCGCTCACGGATCATGATTAAACCCCTCAGGTCCCACTTCTGCCTCTCCTGTCTTTACAGTCCTGTCTACACAGGGCCTAACGGGGAGGGACAGGCACTGGCCCCATGCAGGGCTCCTGGTCCACCTCTGAGTGAGCAGTCAGGGATTCAGTGCATCTAAGGAGGACAGAAAGGAGGAAAGTTGGAGAGACAACAAACGAGCTACTGGAATTAGGCTGGCACTGCCTTTATCTTTTGAAACCTTAGTTCTAAAATAACAAAGAGATTAGTTGGCTCCTTGGTGACAATAGCCAGCAAACTTTTCTTTGACAGAGTAAAGGGCAGGTCCAGGAAGCAGCACAGCCTTTTTTTTTTTTTTTTTTTTTTTTAAAGAGAGAGAGATAGAAAGAGAGAGAATCTTAATATTTATTATTATTATTATTATTTTAGTTTTCAGTGGACACAACATCTTTTTTGTATGTGGTGCTGAGGATCGAACCCGGGCCGCACGCATGCCAGGCGAGCTCGCTATGGCTTGAGCCACATCCCCAGCCCCTCAGCACAGCCTTCTTAAAGAAGTGACTCTGACACCCAGTGAGGTGGGACCAATGGCTGCTCCCACTGCGGCCTTGGGAAATCACAGAGCCAGCCTAGGGAATCATGGCGGGTGGGAGGCATCTGTGGGGGCAGGATGGTCATAGGCAAAAGGCCTCAAATCCCATCTGATGAGAATTCCCAAAACTCAGACTCCATGATCTGGCCACATGGTTGGAGACCTTGAGTTCTTACTTTCCACCTCGTCCTTCCCCAACCACAGGCAAAGAGACTCCTTCCTGCCTCCCATAATAGCTCCATAATGGGGGGTGATCCCAGGGATGTGCCCTCAAGTAATTATTGATTGATCTTTATTATTCATTATTATTTTATTATCCCAGAATTTATCAAAAGTCTTCTTTTCCTCACCTTTTTCTATTTTAATTTTGGTTAGGTCATCTTTGGGGGTAACACATTCTGTGTGTTTATGACCAAGTCCTTGAGTAATTTACTTATTTTTCAATTACTGTTTTTTTTTTTTTTTTTGGTGGTGCTACTGGTTATTGAACTCAGGGCACTCTACCACTGAGCTTTTTCCCTATCTCTTTTTTATTTTTGGAGTCTTTCTAACTCAGACAAGCTGGTCTTGAACTTGTAATCCTCCTGCCTCAGCCTCCTGAGAAGCTGGGTCTATCATATCTCACTTCAATTCCTATCTTAATCTTTAATAAATATCATTTGATTTTTGTATTCTGAAATGTGATGAAGGTGAGAAAGTCAGAACTCCTCACAAGAAAGCACCTAGAATGAGGATAGGTCAGCTATAAGGGAGAGACCTTAGTTTAGCTGGAGAGTCATTTCTTTGAGATCTAGGCACCTGCTTTTCAGAAGGGAGCAAACTTGGCCATATTTCTCCTCCTCTGCTCCCACACTGTGTAAGTTCTGGGTCTTAGGTGACAAAGTCTCCCGTCAGACGGTTCCCATGGGGCATCCTCTCCAGGAATGGACCCCGGCCTCACTAAACCTTCAGAGTTATGTCAGGAGGCTCCAGGGTCATCTGGCTTCCTTCCTGCCACCCTCTAAAGCAACAGCTGGGTTGGCACGTTTCCTACCACATGACCTGGGATTTGGTGAGGTCAACCCTTACATCCAGGGTCAAGCAACTCAATGTAGGTAGGAGCCCATTGCTTTTGTAGCTCTGCAACAGAGTGTCCCTGGGGAAAGGTGGAGTAATGCAAGTCCATACCGTGCTGTAGCTGAGAACGTAAGCATGGCTCAGGAAAACATCCATGAAACAAAGTCAAAAACACTGTCAGGCAGCTGTTCAGCTGTTTACCAACTAAATGGCCTGACATGGGGTCTCACAGTGCCTGCCTGACAGCTGCAGAAACTGTTGCCCTCCCCCACCCGCCCTGTGTCTCCTGCTGGCTGGGGCCATCTGTGAAGCCACCAATAGCTTCCTTCTCCTGTCTCCACTTTTTCCAGATCCTTTCTTCCCATTTAAACCATGAATCTATCACACACTCAACATGGGCTGAGGACCCATCCTGCCCCCACCGCTGCCCTCCCACTTTTTTTCAGGAACCCACAAAGGGGCTGGGTGCTCTGATGTCCAGAGACTGTTTCCCCAATACCCAGATCTGTGGTAGGGACTTGTTAGTCATAGGAAATGACTGTAAGAACCTGTGAACCAGAGGAGACCAAATCCCAAAGTACTATCTGGAGGACACCATGGAAGAAAAAAGCCCTTGACCAAGGCTGACTGTGACCTGCCACAGGCTGGACTGTGTCCTTTAGTTAAATGGCCTCTCTGCAGACTGTGGCATGCAGGAAATGCACGGATGGTGGAAGGAAGAATGGTGACAGTGATGTTCCTTGTCTCTCAGGGGAGGTGTCAGCTAACAGTTTCAGTGTCCCTGGCACACACTGTAGAGATGTAGGTCGGTGGGTTAATCTTATTTTACAGATGGAGAAACTGAAGCAGCAGAGAAGTAATGAAAGTAACCGAGATAATCAGAACCTTGCAGTTCAGAGACTCCACTGTGACTCTCAAAACTGTTCATCTGTAGTCATCTTGCCCTGGCCTGTGCAGATGGGCTCCAGGTGAAGGTGGCCCTCTGCATCTGTGAAAGCCAGCAGGAGCAGCACTCAGAAGCACAGTGAATATATGTCCTTAGTTTAGGAATGATCAGGGCAGCCTGAGACGGTGTGGCCGCGGGGAACAGGAAAAGGTCTCCTCCACCCATGAGGGGTCATGGTCAATCTTACTGATGCTAATACTGATGCTGAGAAGGGAAAACTTGGATAAGCTTGCTTTACTAGCTCTGCTCCACTTTTGTTTGTTCTATAGGCCTCATGAATGGCATTTTCCTTCTCATTTTTAGATATTTATGTTCATATAAATAGGATGATACTTTTGCCAGCCACAACATGCTACTGACACAAGCTGGACTGTGAAGCTGAGTTCACCTAGCTTTCCCCATCCTGCCATCCTCTCAGTGCGTTTGGACAGTAGTCTGAGTGCTTATGGATCTGAATGAAGCCCTTTATGGTCACAGAGATAAGGGATGTACTGACAAGACAGTTAAAGGGGTGGATCCAAGGGTAGGTGTTCCTGTTGACAAAAGACAGAAAGCATGTGCATGAAGGAAGGCATTTCTGCATTAAATGTAATAATATGTGAGCAAAGAGCAGCTGGTGGAGGCAGAAAAGAAAAATCCAGAAAGAGGATAAAGGAGAAGTTCATAGATCTGAAATGTGCATCAAGATGTAACAATGTTTGGAACAAATGAAGAAAGAGATGAGGGATGGATGAAGTCAAGGGCAATGAGCAATTCTGACTCCAGATAAGCCATTAGTGTTACAGTTCTCAGTGAGAAATCCATCCCACTCTGTAAGAACGAGTAGTCTCTAGAATCACCTCTTGCATCTCTACCTCCTTCACCATGGGTTTTCCAGAAGTGAACAGCTGGACGGATATAGATGATAAAGCCTAGAGACACAAGGAGTTGGAAATAGGGCCACAGAGTTTTGGGAACCAAGAAATGAGAACACAGGTTTCTGGTGTTCATATACACAGACTGAAAGATCAGTTTAGATACATGTAAAATCCCTGCAGATTAAACAGAATTTGCTTTTGGGTCACAGATTATAATAGAAGTTTGTTATTTATATGCATCTATGTTGCTGAAAGAAAAGTGACAACAGATCAGTTCAGAGAGATGAAATTCGGGACACCAGAAACCTGAAGAGATGTTCTCGGGGCCTTGAATCCTGCTCCCAGATTGCTCAGACATAATGAGCTCTGCATTGAGATGCATCTATCCTAAGACTGCTCAAAGCCACTGAATGGCTGATCAAGTTGACTGCTTAGAAATGTACAGGCAACATGAAATGCAGGAATCTGAGTGTTTCAGGAAGCACATACCATGTGAGTCACAAGCCCTACCTTATTAGGATCAACTCATTCTGGGTTTTTCTTTTACTGTTTCATTCTATAAGAAATTGCTTTGATTTCTGTGGAGGCGTCGGAAGGAACATCAGAGAAGCAGTGCCGTCCTTAGGGGCAGTGGTCAGGACATAAGCTCCCACTAGGATTTCAACACACTACCCAGGAATGCAAGCCCTGCTTAACTGTGGCCCAAACCGCAATCTGGGAACCTTTCAGATTCCTGAATAACTCAAGCTCAGTCATTTAGGTCCCAACAGATGAACTTGGGCATAATGTTACAAAGCGGCTAAACCAAAAGATGTGAAACATGGAGGAGGCTAAAGGAAAGAATCAGTTTCTCATCGGTTGAAAACCCTGTACTTCTCCCACACCCCCAAACCTCTTCTCCTGTCATCGAATGACACAGTTCCAACAGAAAACTCTACCAGCACACATGAGGCGTCAAGACGACACTTCTAAAGCAAAATTTTAGGTTTCATAGAGGCAGATAAATAACAACATACCATTTAAATAAATGCAGAAAGTAGTTTCTGAAGACATAAATTACTTAATACAGGGGGAGGCCAGGAGACCCACAAATGCTCAGTTGTCTGAGCCTTGTGCAACTCCTGGGGGGACCTGCTCCTAAGAAGACTCAGGGGTCTTACCAGTAGGCCAGGGAGGGGTGCTCCTTCAGAGCTTGGGTGGGAAGGGCTGGCAGCTTCTTCAGGTCACTCCTCACGACCTCATTGCTGAAAGAGAGAAGGCCAATAAACACACTCAACCTCCATGAAAATAATTGAACTATTTGATAGGACTGAGCCTGCTGCCATGTCTGGGAGCCCCACGGGTGTTCCCTTTTTAATGGAAGTGGTGGCAGGAAGGGAGCTTTCTTTATATTTATTTTCTTACATAGATGGAAAAGAAAGCAAGACAACTGAGCTGAGTGACCACCTCTTCCAGCACAGGACCAGGACAGAACCAGGACAGAAGCAGGACAGAGCATTAATGGGACCCAGTTGCCTTTTCAAACCTTGTCCTCACAGAGGGATTTCTGAGGTTCCTTGACCAGTCCCTGGTATGAATCCATGGAAGGGACCCTGGGGTGCCACCAGGGTGGATCCCAGGATAATCTTTCTGGGTATCATCACAGTTTCCCTGGGAGCACTGATGGCCTAACACAATTCTGGTTTTATTTGTGTTTTGTTTTGCTTAGATTGACCACACACTGGAAACTGTTTGCAGAAATACAACAAATAAATAAACTTGGCTTTTGACAATGCCCAGAAACTACTTAGGAAGTGGGAAGTGAATTGCTCTTGCTATTGGGAGGTTTCACACATCTGATTCTCAAACCAGAATGTCTTTTTCCCATAGACTCAATTATGCTGAGGTGTGGAAGACACTTTAAACTCCCCTAATTCAACCAGCCTTCTTCAGATGCCTAACTCCTCTACAGACACTCAACAGATTTGCATTCCCTCTGAGTTGGGCTTTCTGGGATGATCATACCCACTCTACCCCTAGACCCATTCACAGCATCCAACTTGTGGATGGTTCTGGTATTGAAAGAGTGTCTACACCAGCCAAGAAGCTGGGGTGCAAGGGCTTATCTCATGAAGTTCTATGGATCCCATGATCCATAATTTTGATCTGTGCTGTTAGCAGTTTTTGTGGCATTCATACAAAGCAAGGCAAAGACTGTCCACCAAGATACCAGGTAGTAGCATCCCAAAAGCAAGGAGATAGGAGATGGATAAGTGAATATGATAAAGGAAGGAGCACCCTAGGCACAGGTGGGGAGATCCTGGGGCATTTAGATAGCAAACAGCCCAACACTCACGCTGCTAACTGGAGGAAACAAGGGAGTAATGTTTATAAATCCTAGCTTTGAACAACCAATCAGAACGAAAAGCTACACTTGTGATTGTTTGAATCAATATATCCACATACTTGGATTGTTACAATCTGAGTAGCAAGGCAAGAATTTTCACTTAATAGTCAATAATGTAAACGTATTCACGAAGCCCACACCATTACGTGGAGAGTACTGCAAGGGACCCCAAAGGATGAGCCAGGGTTCTTATCCAAAAAATAAGGACAATTTAGCTTGGGAGGCAAGAGGTGCACATAGAAAAATAACTGAACAGGTCTTTTTGGTGGAAATGCTGGCTTTGGGGAAACGAGCATGAAAAAAAGGGCAAGAACATCATTTTTCCCTTTGGTGGAGCACATCTAAGTGACAAAGGCCATCTAACTTGAACTGAAGAGATCAGCTGGACCGAGTTTAAACAAACATTCACAGCGGCAGAATTCTAGATTTCTCTCCCCATTTTACTGTAAGTTCCCTGAGCACAGGGATTTGATTCATTGGTTCATTACTGTCTAGAGAGGTGCCTCAAACCTTTAGCAGGTCAACTTTTATTGCATGAAATTGTGAGAAAAGTAATTAGTTGCTCCTTTATTGAGCTGGAACTTGAGTTTAGATCTATCTATCACATTTGGGGAAGGAAGGAACTAAGGGAGGAAGGGATCATTTTACCCACCAAACACTCAGTTTGTTGGCAAACAAGTTTCCGTGATGACAGCCACAGGCTTGACTTCCTTGCTGAAACTTGCAGTGGATCTTCTAGTTCTCCTCCAGGGCAAGGTTACACAAAAAATATAACAAGAATCACCAGGGCGTGAAGCCCATCCAAATCCATTACATTCTGGAAGGGATCCATGGCTTCTAATCCTTCCCAAAGGACAAGAATGTAGAAATGTTCTGTTTGCCTTTCTGCTGTTTCTAAACATTTCTAGTGACTTAGAGGTGTCCAGCTCCGTCCATCCAGCCAGACTCTGCACAGGGAAATCAGAAAGCTGTCCTGATGGGAAAAGGGGTCACTCCACCCTCAGAGACTTGTGCTGTTATAGCCTAACAAATGTGCTAGAAGTTCCTCTCGAAGACTTTCACTCCGATGATTCCCCGGCAGAGTTCCGTGCCCTTGGTAAATGCTAACTTACAACACACCTTAAAAGTTCATTGTGGTCATATTCTATTTTTAGAAGAAACCATAAAAGTCTCTTAGAGTCTGTTGCTAAACTGAAAATGAAATTTCATTCTTTTTATTCTTTATATTAACCAGATTTTTTTCAAAACTTTTAAGTAGTTATCAATGTTGCCAGCATAAAAATGGTTATGTCAATGCCATGCTAGTTTTTCATGGGATGGAGAGCCGACATGACCTGCTTGTCTTCTACTGCCTAAAACATGGGAATTTTGAAAGATGTACTGAGGGAAAAAACAAAAACTTCTAGCAATACATCAAATAGAAAATTTCCCAAATCAACAAAACAACAACGACAAATTTAACCTAGACACCATAAAATCAAAGGTGATCAAAATTAAACTTGAGGAAATGATTAGCAAAACCCATCATTTTTTTTCCTTTAAAAATTAGGAAATAATGTTTCCAGGAAACTTCTTATGGATCAAATGAGATACCTGTAACTTGTAGGAGAAACCCGGGGACCACAGAATATGCTGGGTGTATAAACCAGTTGTTTTGATCTACATTGCTATAAAAACAACAGAGCACTAAATCCACAAAGCTTTTGCTAGCGTAACATAAGAGTAGAGCCTGAAACTCAGAAATGCTGCCATTATGCCAACACCAGATCAACTCTTTCATATTTTGTGAGTGTATCATAAAGGAAAATTCTTCCAGGGAAAAGAAGTTTCAAAACAAAATAAGAATATGTCAAGACTTCAATCCGTTATCCACAATTCCCAAACCCAAAATACTCCAAGAAATACACTTTTCTTATCCCATTTTGTGGCAAAAGGCAAATCCATTTTTTTTTTTATCTAAGGCAAAATTTGACCTATATCTCTCCTCTGTGGTGTGAACATCCATCCATGCATTGACGTAGGAGTGATGATGTGTTTTGATCCCAGGTGCCGCCCCAATCTCTGCCCCAGGTGTTCAGGAACACAGGGTACCAGCACCAAATCACACGTCTCAGACCCAAGAAATTCTGGATTCCAAGCATTTATATCCTAAAGTTTCAGATACACTGTGGATTTGTATTCCTGTCCATTGCACAAGGAACCTAGAAAACTCTAAGGCAGATTAATAAGTTACAGATTTTTGTTTTCTGCTGATCTTTAAAAGGCATGCAGAAAACAATCTCTTCTTTCGCTTCCTCCTTGCCTGCCTTTTATTTGTGAACCAAGGAAAAGTTGGAAGTAACAATGAATAAAGTGGCAAATTGTCTATCATACACTTTCCCCCAGGTGTGCAGGGGAGACTCAGTGCAGCTGATGACTYCACAGATGTTGCAGGAGTCTTCCATGTGGAACTGTACCCACTGTCTGTGAAACTTCAGTCACTGCCTTTGACATCTGCAGATCAAGGGAAGCACCTGGGGACCCGGAAAGATTTTCCCAGCATGAGATTCTGGAGTCTGGGCATGTGTCAAGGATAAATAGGTCACACTAACTTACCAATCTTGTGGAGGGGCGATGTTACAAATACTTTTTATGAATTACATGTCTTTCCTTCTGATGCTAACTGTTCAATTATATATAAGGATTTCTTTTTTAACTAATGAGTCTGGTTTCCCTCGGTTGAAAGAAAAGTTTTGTGAAATTTCTAATTCAGTTGTAAATATGTAAAATTTAATCCAAGTTAAAAAATGTTTCTAAAGTTCACAATTTCAAATAATTTTACTCGAATCGCTGAGAAGAAAAACTCCCTAATTTTCTACACTGTTACCCTTAGCTTGAGAATCTCAACTCTGAAAAACTGTCACAGTGCCAGAATCATGAACCTTTTTACTATTCAGAGTTCACTCAAAATATGATAGTGAGATTAAATAAATGCTTAACAAAAGAGATAAGCTGTCATAATACAATATTTCCTTTTTACTTTATATCTTAACAATTCTCATAAGATTTGAAGAATATCATTCTGCAAAAAGCCATATCCAAATACTATTTTATGCTTTGAAAATGTGAATTACACACTTAAAAAGCACAGTCAAATGGACTTTTGTGCACAAAACAAAGCTCTCTGTAACAATTCATAACTTTTCCACTTGAACATTTTGCTTTAAATTTTCATAGATTCTATTTCTTTCAAAAGCTCTTGCTGGCATGAAAGATTCCAGCTGCTTCTCAATTACTCATGGTCCTCAAGGTCATTTATAAATCATGGGAAAGCTCTACACATCCCTCTTTCTTCTTCTTAAAAAATAAATTGATATTTGATAATTATATTAATTTCGATTCTTCCCACAAAAAGTCTTCTTTGGACTGAAAGGTATGTTTCAAGTTGGAAAGATGATGTTTTTCATTGGAAGTTTCCAATAGGAAAATGGTATGACAGATACTATCAGCTTCTGTAAGTTGTATTCCAAATGTTAACGATTCCCAACAAAACTAAGTATTTTTTCACTATCTAAAAGCCTCACCAAATTTACTTCTATTACCATATAATCAATGACAGCTGTTTTCTCTCTAGAGGCAATTAAACAATTGTAGGAAAATATACCCCAAATGATCAAAAGGTCTAATATTGATGTAAAACTGAGCTTGTTTAATTAGATTTTTATTAGTAAAACTACTTATATAAGTGCACAGTAATGACATTAGTAAGCTAGGAGTTGTTATTTACAGACTGTTGCTTTAATCCACTTTTTAAAATATTTATTTTTTAGTTTTAAGTGCACACAATATCTTTATTTTACATTTATGTGGTGCTGAGGA